GGAAGGGGAAAGGAAAGAAGAGAAAGGAAAAATTATGAGAAAAGAAAAAAACAGAAACAAAGTCTATGTAAATAGGGAAGGGCACACAGGTAATGGGGAAAAAATAAGAACCAAGATACATCATGTGCTGGTACGAGGATCCAATGATAAATGTAAATGTATTATATACCTAAAATATACCAATAAAAGAGTTTAAGCAAAAAAAAAAGAACTATTTCTGAGTTTCAATCAGATATTCAATTATTTTCTCTTCTGATACACACTGTCTTATTAGAGGAAATAAGTTAGTTTAATGTTCATCTTCATTATTATTTTTTTTTGGTACCAGGGATTGAACTCAGGACCTTGAGCATGTGAGGCAGGCGGCAGAACCACTAAGCTAAATCCCCGGCCCTAATTTTCATCTCTGATTCTTGTCATAAATATAATTCTAATAAGGTGAATAATTAATGATTAGGTTTCCTAACTGTAACGGGTCAGAAAGAGCAGATTATGAGAGGAAATGGTCTTCATACTAAGCACATATAACAGTAAAAAATGGCAGCCAACAAGGCAAGGGATAAAGGTTATTTCAGTTTTGGATAGCTGAAGAACACACTATGTGGAAGAAAACCTCACTGCTGAGTAAAAATGAATTGTAGGGCCAGAGATTTAGCTCAGCAGTTTCGCAGCCTGCTGCGCAAGCGCAAGAAGCAGAGTTCGATCCTCGGTACCAAAAAAAAAAAAAGAATTGTGATCATTACTACTTTACTCATGGGAAAAAAAAACCCAGAGAAGTTATCTTGTCCAGTTCCAGAATTAATCATTCCATAAATAAGAGACACATGATAGAGATTTTTATATTATCTAAATAAAAGTAAGAAGAACCTGAAGACCTTGAGACCTACTATAGTTAGATGAGTAAAAATGGGATAAAGAATAAAGGTACTTGAGGCAGAGAATGTGTCTGTGCGTGCATATGCATTTAATACACTCAAGGTTGTTTTTTTTTTTGGTACTGCGCTTGCGAGGCAGGCACCGGAACCACTGAGCTAAATCCCCGGCCCTACTCAAGGTTTAATGTGGACACATTAACAGGCAATGAGTTCAAAGTAAAATTTCATCAATTTATTTGTATTTCTTAAATTCTGACACTTAATACATCTTAAATCTGAACAGGAAAACACAATTTGTGCATCCTAGCTCTTATTACATAAAACAATGGGCACGTAAAGCTGCTTCAAGTGTTATTAAAAAATCTGCTAACTAAAATCCAGGGATTGTCAAAAAACCAGTATTAGCATATATGCTTATGGGTAGTGCTAGAACTGGACAGCTTATCAAGCCCAGACCTATCACCCACCAGTTTTCTTATACCACTATCTATGCCCTATACCCAGTTAATCTGATCCTAGTCCAAGCAAATGGAAATTATTGAACTAGTTATCACAGCTGCCCTTTACTGGTGAAATCACAAACAACTCAAATGCTTATATGAACAACTGAATAGTTTTTGTACATTAGGTAGCCAAGCAAAACACAGCAAACAAATTTACTTACTTTGCATTCTAGTTCTCATTCTTATTTGGTGTTCAAACCATTCCTGAGGGTTTTTTTGATATCCTGAGCCTGAAACAAATTCATATATCGAAACATCATTTCACAAATCTATCAGAAATGACAAATCTATCAGAAAGGAAAAAATAAAGTAGGAAAGGAAAACAATGAAGATAATAGCTTGCGGAGTAAAAGAATTTTAACGGATCATATCAGTGAAGATGAACTACTTCTCACAGCAAAACAGGTATTAAAGCACATTATGACAGTGGTGGTGAAACTGTGGCACGCATACTACAGTGGGCTGTTTGTATTACTGAAAGCTCTAAAAGGCTCACCATTACTGCATTATGACCTTACAGACAAAACTATGTAAAGTCCTTTGGTCTATGTGAATGACTGAGTTCAAAAACACATCACAAGGTTTTGATGTTATTCAATTGAAAAGTTGGACTGGGAAGTTAGCTCAGTGGTTCCGCCACCTGCCTCGCAAGCACAAGGTCCTGAGTTTGATCCCCAGTACCAAAAAAAAAAAAAAAAAAGTTAACCATTTATTCTTGGAGGAGGAAATTCTTTACGGTAAAATAGCCCTGAATACATTTCCACATCACAGTGTAATTATCCTGTATAGTACCAATGATTGGTAGATTAAAAAGTGAAGAGAGAAAAATGACTTAAAATCTTACTAGATTTTTGTTGGCAGAATAAAGCAAGGTTCGATATAAGTGACTGAAAAAGAAAAGACTATTGACCACTTACTCAGCACTGAAGATTGCTTGTTATGAGCTGTGGAGTCTTGACCTCAAACAGAAAACAAGAATAGGGTTACAGAATACTTGGAAATTAAAACAAAAAAAGATGCTGCATAGATATTTTGGTTGTTTCCTATGAGTACTATAAACAAAATCAAATCTTTCTCTGATCAGAATAAAAAATACACAATAAATATATTTTTCCCTTTTCTAAACTTCAAAAATGTTCACAGACTGGATAATAACATGAAGTCAGTTTTAAAATCATAACCACCAAAATAATGGCTACGGGCTGGGGATGCAGTTCAGTGGCAGAGTGCTTGCCTAGCATGTGTTATGACCTGGGTTTGATCCTCAGCACTAGGAGAAAAAAAAAGCTAAATGTACTCAATATTTACCAAGTATTAAGTATAATTTCACTTAATTCTTATACCTTATATGGTAGATGTTATTATCTATATTTTATAAAAGGGGAAAACTGAAATTGATAATTTTCCTGAGATTACATATCTGAAAGAAATGGGACTAAACCCATAACCATATATAATACCATGCAGTATGGTATGTATTACATGTGCAAATTTGTGGGCAATGCAAAATACTTATGAAGTAAAATACTAATTCAAATTTTGAAGTGATATTTAATTATAAAATGATACTATGGGATCATTACAAAATGACAATATAAATAATTATAATAAGGTAAATTTCAAAATCTGCCCTCAAGAAACAAGTTATTTCTATCAACTGGTACAAGTATCTAGGTAAATTTATTCACAATTTCACCTTTTCTGAATAGAAAAGCAATACATGCTAGCTGTAAAACATGTACTATTCCAAGAATGTATGACTTAAAAATTTATGAATACTGTATCTGTTAAGAACCTACTATGTGTAGAATATTAAGTTTGGAAATACACAGTAAATAAGATAGATATATATTATAGATTTGCTTTCAGCCTATATTAACAACATACTTAAAAAAAACTAGACATATGCTTTTTCTGTTTTTTTTTTTTTTTTGGTACTGGGGATTGAACTTGGGTCCTCAGCTTTCAAAGCAGGTGCCAGAACCACTGAGCTAAATCCCTGGCCCTTTTTGTTTTGTTTTGTTTTTGGTACTGGGGATCGAACTTGGGTCCTTGTGCTTGCGAGGCAGGCAACAGAACCACAGAGCTAAATCTCCGGCCCTACATATGCTTTTAAATATATTCTTTAGCATCATTTATACAGGCAGATACTTTTTTTGGCGAGGGAATACCGGGGATCAACTCAGGACCTTCTGCTTGTGAGGCAGGCATGGTGCCACTGAGCTAAATCCTTGGCCCTTAGGCAGATACATTTAAGAGTTTCCAAAGGTCAAAGATTTGGAGCAAAATAGGATAAATATTTACATAAAGAGTAATTTTCCACAAAAGGTTTTCTTTTAATGTTTCAGCAGTTTATTCATTTTTATTGTATTTGTTTAGAGTCACTAGCCTAGAATCTGCTAAAAACTAAAATTAAAAATCATATAAAATAGAATTCTATGAACATAGTGATCATAAAAGATTTCCAAAGGCTTTTTCTTTAGTCTTTTACTTTTAAAAAGTGATGTAGCAGGAAAAAAATTCTTGAAGATTTTATGTACAAGGGTATTTTCAGCTGATTAATATGTAACTTAAATTCTGGGTCTTGATTTAAAAATGGAAAAAAGAAAAAAAAGTTTATATACTCTTAAGAAACATATCCATTGTAGATAACCTGCACAACACAGAAAATAATAAAAAGAAAAATGCCACTGAGTCTACTGTCCTGAACAATCACCGTTAGCATTTTAGTATACTACATTGTAATATTCTTAGTGCCATATTTTAACATTATATCATGAAAATTTTCTAAGATTCAAACTACTATATCAATCAATCAAAAAGCAAATCAACATATTTATATTGCAAGCAAGCACATTCAACAAATTATAGAAAGCTGTAGACTTTTATTGTCATTTTTTAAATTTCAAAATCAGGTTTGAGTATAAAGAGTAACTCAAGAAGCATAATCAAGAAGTAGAAAGATACTGGAAGAGATTTTTTTTTTTCAATCACTCGCTACATGTCTTTTTCATTTATATTAAATTGTAAAAGAAAATCTTTAAAAATAAGAACAAATAGGGCTGGGGATGTAGCTCAGTGGTGTAGCATCTGCCTTACAAGTGAAAGGTCCTGAGTTTGATTCCCGGTTCCAGAAAAAAAAATAAACAAAATTTGACCATGATCATAGGTACGTCTGTAAAGCATGGCTTTACTTACTTTGGGGTAATCTCCGAATTGATTCTGGACATTGACTAGATGATCTAGTGGTTTGATCTAAAAAAAAAAAAAAAAAAAAATTAAAATTCTTATTTATTTAATTTTATTTTTATTATTTTTTTGGTACCGGGGATCGAACTCAGGACCTTGCAGTTGCGAGACAGGTGCTGAAACCACTGAGCTAAATCCGCGGCCCTAATTTATTTTACATAGCACTAGTGATTGAACCCAGTGGCAATGAGCTATGTCCTCAGCCCTTTTTATTTTGAGATAGGGTCATGGTAAGTTGCCCAGGCTGGCCCTGAACTTGTGATCCTCCTGTCTCGGATTCTGGAGTAGCTGGGATTACTGGCATAAGCCACCATGCCTGGCTATATTTAACTGTTTAGTGTACATTTTATAAGAGAATAAATATTAATGAATCATAAGGACTTTAATACTTGGTGCATAATTTATCAAAAAAACTTTCAAAGAGTTGTGTTGTTTCAAAAAATTTAGCTAGTTATGCTCCCCTAACCACTATTTAAAGAAAAAAATTGAAGATATAGAACACAGCAGGAAGTAAACATGATAACACCTTGGAAATGGGGAAAATCTTTATAAGGGATCTTCTTAAAATCCTTAATACACATTTTGCCTTAAAATTTTCTAGAAAGAGGGCAAGAAAGATGGTATTTAGTAAATATTAATGCTTAAGGCGTGAGATATTTTAGTTCATTCTTAAGTCATTTTGTTCACATAATAATGGAATTTATAACTATGTTTCATAGTGGTCAGATTGCTATTTTGTTTATTTTTTTATTTTTTTATTTTTTTGAGACAGGGTCTCACTATGTAGTCTAGACTGGCTTCGAACTCAGTGATTCTCCTGCCTCTGCCTCCTGAGTGCTGGGATCACAGGCGTGCACCACCATGGTTGGCTATTTTGGTTCTTTTTTGTACCAGGGATTGAACTCAGTACCTTGTGCTTGTGAGGCAGGCGCCGTGCCACTGAGCTACATCCCCAGTCCCCAGATTGCTATTTTGGAAACAGAAGCATGTGACATACAAAAGTGGGGTGGCTAATTGTAGATGGTGTACTATTCTTATTAAAAAATTTCTGAGCATCTACCCCTGAAATGTTTTTCTAATATTAAAAATATGAAGTACTGAAATAATAAATTAATTTGTTGTGAATATTATAATATGAAAATAAACATTTTTAATGGATGAAATAAAAACAATTATAAAAAAATTCTAGTATTTTTTCCCTTGGTGATGAGTGGCCCAGAAGACAGCCTTGGAAGACCAATATTTTTCTTAATATGCCTCAATACTTTGTTCTTTTTTTGTTTTTGTTGCACTAGGGATGGAACCCTGGGCTTTCTCCTGCTAGGCAAGTGGTCTACCACTCAGCTACATTCTCAAGCCTTTTTTCACTTTATTTTTGAGACAGGGTTTAAGTTGCTTAGGTTGGCCTCAAACTTGTCATTTTCTGCCCTCAGCTTTGCTGTGCCCAGTAACACCTTGTAATTTAGAGTTTCTCTCTGCATGTATGCTTCAATAAGGGCACAGAACTTACTAGATTTCTAAAGGGAACAACAACCTGGGGTTTATGTAGTTCCAAATAGCTATATGCTCCTGGCAATGGCAGTGAAGTACTGGTTATATGAATACCTTAATCTTTAATTTTTAGAGCTTTATGTATAGTACTTTATTTGGGTGCTTACTATGTGCCAAATACTTTTCTTTTCTTTTTTTGGGGGGGTACTGGGGATCAAACTCAGGATGGACCTTGTGCTTGCAAGGCAGGCACAGCACTACTGAGCTAAATCCCCGGCCCTCTGCCAAGTACTTTCTAAGTGTTTTGCATGCATGAATTAAATTATTGAGGAACACAAGTTAAGCAATTATCTGAGGGCATGCACCTAGTAAGTGGAGGACTCAAACTGGGGGATTCTGGCTCTATGGCCTCATACATGCTAGGCAAGTGCTCTACTACTGAGCCACAACCCAAACCTGAGGCCAGGCTCTTAACCACCATGTTGGAGTATTACATATCTCTTTTTAGGGTTTCTTTATCAAGAAAGGAGGAAAACATGAGGAAAGGTGAGAAATATACAGAATACCAAATGCCCATAAACACAGCTTATGGACTTAAAAAAAACCAAACTGTTCTTTTGTGGTGCTGGAGATCAAATCCATGGCTACACCCATGTGAGGCAGATGCTTTATCAACGAGGTATGCGTTATGGGCTGGGTCTTAGCTCATTTTTATTTTATTTATTTATTTTCTCCTAGCTCATTTTAAAGGTGAAATGATGAAATAATTAAAAAGAATTATAGAAATTCTCACGAGGTGGTAAGGGGAAAATGGAGAATTATTTTTCTGTGGGACTAAAATTTAAAATTTTACTCTTTAGGAGCCGGGGATTTAGCTCAGTGGTTTCACCGCCTGCTGCGCAAGCACAAGGACCCAAGTTTGATCCCTGGTACCAAAAAAAAAAAAAAATTACTCTTTATTTGCAGTTTATAAATTTACCCAGCATCCTCAAGCCTCAAAATGTGTTTTTTCTCTATTCAGTTAACCCTTTAAATAAGAAATTGTTAACATTAACTTGGTATGAATTTGAACACTCTAGAAAGAAAAGTAGTTATTAATTAAAATAAATATTAAAATATTAAAATGTCCTAGATTCTAAGTAACACTCCTCAAAGAGTGCTGAGTCCCAATGCCTATGTGATGTTTACCTATAAAATTAAAAAACAATAAATACTCTCCTTTTGACTATAAAAATACCTTATTTCCCACAAATATCCAAGAAGGCCAAAAGAGATTTATTATTTAGCTATTACATGATATTATATTACTATTCAGATGTATATATGGAATCAGTATTTTTTGTCTGTTTATTACTGCGGACTGAACTTTCCTGAACATGCTAGGAAAACACTCTGCCACTGAACCACAGCCTCAGGCCTTTTTAAATTTTTAAAGTTTCAAGACAGGGTCTTACTAAGTTGCCAAAGCTAGACTTGAACATGTGAACCTCTGGTCTCAGCCTCCCAACACTGGCTGGCTTAGAATTAGTAATTTAATAAATATTAATAATATGTAACTTTTTTGAAAGCAGTTTTAAAGAAAAAGCAAATTCACAGAATACCTGAATATTTGAACTAAAAAGATAGCTCCTATAAGAAGTCATATGTATATAAATCAATGTTACCTCCAGGTTCAACAGAATCCCCGGATCTGACCTTAACAGTAGTGGTATCACTGTAAGAACCGTCTTGGTCGTCATCTTCAGTTTCTCCTAAAGAGAAGTAAACAATATACTGGGGTATAGTCTCTAATGCTTAAAAGTTCTACATTAAAAAAACAAGTCGTTATAATGAAGGTTTTAAAAAAATTATTACTATTTTGAATCACAGCTAAAATTGAGCTCATTTATTTGTTTTCTGAGGCACATAATTATTTCCTAAACAAATATTCAGAGCAACACCTAAAGACTGTATTTTGAAGCTTTAATGTAGCCAAAAATGAACAGGTGAGCATTAAGTAATGAAAAATTTTTACTCTATGAGGAGAAAACTAAATATAGCTGTGTAATTAAATTCAGACATGATTAAGGTATACAGATGTGTTTTTATAAGTATGTATGAATGTGTTAATATATGGAAGACTAATTGTAGATTATGCTAGCTTGAAAAGGAACTAAATTTTACGTCTATAGTTTTCAAACAGATTAAGAATTTGGAAAAGTAATTAAGCAAAGGCCAGCATGTGGTAGAAATGGAAATACTAGCTTTGCTTAAAAGTATCTCAGACAAAACGATGCTTAAAATGTACATAAGGGCTCCCATCAGTCATTCTATGTGATTTTATCCTGTTTATCTTAAGTTCATAATTTTTTCTCCCGAAGAAAAAGGTATTTTTTTGCTCTTAACTCAAATACCTATCAAATTGCTTCTAAAGACAAAGAATATATGATATTTAAAAAAGAAGTACCTTCTTCAGAGAAATTGACCTTCTGTTTCACACTGGAGGCTTCTAGAAGAGAAAAAGCATATGTGTAAATCAAAAACTAAAGCTAAGGAATAAATAAGAGCAGCTAATTTAGAAAAATGAACATAAAGATATAATAAATGTTTTCTTCTGTTAAATCACTAACCATCTATCATTTCCTTCTGGCTGCATCAGAAATAACTCAGATGCAAACCAGAATCAGAAATAGTGTTTATTTTTCCTTCAGTCATAGGTCTATTTGTACTCTAAAATGTAACTTGTATGTGCAGAAAACGCTAACTACAAGACAAATATTCTAGTCTTTATAGGTTTATATATTCTTATTCTGTTTGCCAGATTGCCTATGCTACCATGAAAAGCATCAAGCCAGCTGAACTGACAAAACCACTTTAAAAAAAATTAATTTTTGTTTTTTGTTTCTCGGTTGTGTTGGGGATTGAATTTACGGTCCTGTGCAGCCTAGGCAAGTGCTTTACCAAAGAGCTGCATCCTAAGCCCTTTTTAAATTCCTTCCTAAGTTTCTTCCTTCCTTTCTTTCTGTTTTGTGGTATGGGGATTTGAACCCAGTAGTACTTTATCACTGAGCTAGATCTCCAGCCCTTTTAACACATTTCCACTAGCTTGAACCACCAGTGGTTCAGTGGGCAGCTTGTACTACAGGATGGGAGAATCATACATGTACCACTGGTGGTTTAGCGCCTCCTAGCAGTGAGACAAACAAATTACAGCTCCATCGTGGATGTGTTAATTTTTTTTAAAATTTTGTGGAGTTGCTAAATTGCTGAGGTAGGATTCAAACTCGCTATTCTGCTTCAGTCTCCCTAAGTGTTGGGATTACAGGTTTGTGCCATGAGACAGTGTTTTGCTAAGGTGCCTAGGTTGGCCTTGAACTTGCAATCCTCCTGCCTTAGCCTCCCCAAATCAGGTTTTTAGTGCACTGGTGTATCCAAAGAGAAAGTAAGAAAAGTTTAAAAAAAAGAAAAAAACCACAAAATCCCTTTCCTAGTTTCAGCAGGGCCATGTACATCACTGTTTCTCAGAGCAATCGAAAATTTAAACAAAAATCCATGAGCAAAACATATCAAAAAACTTTCAAATGCAGTATTTTTACATGGGCTTAAATGTGAAATGATCATAATAGAAAAGTAGCATGATTTATATATATTTTAATTAAGTTGAGAAAACATTTCTTTTCAGCTTTTATCTCTATTGGTTTCAAAATCTATATGGTTTTTAAAAGTGTAAAAGCTGTCAGTACCAAAATGGAGTTACATACATCAATATTAAATAAAATGGAGCTGGGAGTCCACGAAGAAAGAATCTTCATGCATGTATGCTTTGTTTTGTGTTTTTGTTTGTTTTTTGAGATAGGGTCTCACTATGTAGCTCTGGCTGGCCTTGAACTGTGATCCTCCTGCTTTAGCCTTCTGAGTGCTGAGATTACTGCAGTGTGTGCCACCATGCCTGGCTTCATGCATGTATGCTTATGATAAGAACTATTACAAGGGGTCTCTGAAACCACGGTTCCAGATTAGTCACTTCTATGAAGACATCACTCTAGCAAAAGCCAGTATTACCAACAAATAATCACCAACTCCTACAATTGCTCCTGCAACCAATGGGATTTATTTAAAAACAACTCATGCAGGGCCCGGGATTTAGCTCAGTGGTTCCGCTGCCTGCCTTGAAAGTGCAAGGTCCTGAGTTCAATCCCCCATACCAAAAACAACAACAACAACAACAACAACAACAACAAAAGACTCATATAGGTTCTCTTCTGTCTTTAAAAGCAGCTTCTTGCCCCACCCCCTATTACATGCATATCCCGAATTGTAACCCCTTGCAATTCATGAATAAAGTCTTTGTTTGAAGAGTTGCTCTGTCACTCCTTTTAGAGCTTAGATTGACAGAAATGAAGATTGTGGAAAGAAACTGCCAACAAATTTTATTGTGAATTGGAAATTTTTTCACATTAATTTAATTAATTAGTGGGCTGGGTATTTAGCTCAGTGGTTCCGCCGCCTGCCTAGCAAGCGCAAGGTCCTGAGTTCGATCCCTGGTACCAAAAAAAAAAAAAAGAATTAATTAGTACAGTACTAGTTAAATTTTGAGTTCCACTAAAAATATTACTTCTTGATGATAGTGATAAATCAGTATCTAAAATATGTCTGCCAACATTTGTTGTAGAAGATAGCTAACCCTGAGAAAATTGCTAATAAAAATCACGTTATTCCTAAAAGCCCAGAGTCTGGTATGTATAGTATGTGCTATTTAAATCTAGGCTCTAAGGAGACTGTTCTTTGAGGTTTTTTTTTTTTTTGTGGGGGGTGGGGTGGAAAGTCAAACTGGTCTTAGTGGTGGCTTCTCTTAAAAATTTTTAAATTAATATTTCCATCCCTTACAAGAGGAATTATTTCCTCCTTTATTTTATTTTCTAATTACCTATAATACTTGCCTTTTTGTACAGCAGTTTATTTATATAACTATGCATATAACATGCAAATAATACATGCTTTCTTAAGAGCTTATAAAACTCGTAAGTGTCCCTAGATATTCTGAAAGCCTACCATTTCCACTATACCTTTTACTATTCCTAGGGATTTATGATGTATGCTTGGTGTGAGGACTACAGGGTACTCAAGAAAACATAAACTTTGCTTACTCTCTATTTTATCTGGGGATAAAAACATAAAAATATCACAAATGACACTGAGTGTTTTCTCAAAGGAAAATTAGAATACAAAAGTCAAAACCTGAATTTACTCTTAGAGTAAACAAATGACAATTTGGGTGACTTGTTTTGTTCCTGTCATCAGTATAATAAGTTGGCAAACTGTTTTTTTTTCCATAAAAGGACACATAATAAATAGTTTAGGGTTCATGAGTCATTTAAGATCTTGTCGTGTGTTTTTCTTTCAAAAATGTAAAAACTGTTTCTTAGTTTGTGGGCCATACAAAAACAGATTATGGGACAGAAACATACAAAAAACCAGATTATAGGATAGCCTAAAGGCTGTAGAGCTTGCTGATCCCTAGGCTAGATATATCTAAGGCTGTTCAATACCAATGATGCTTTTGAGAACACAAGAATGGGACAGCAGGAAGGAGATATCACAAGTATCCAAGACCACAAATGGCCATGGTACATAATCCTAGACATGCCAACATGACTATAAAAGGAATCAAATGGTGCTGTTCTTTATACTAACCTATAGAAAATTACTTCAAACACTTTTTTCTAAAGTTAAACTTTTATTATAAAATACTTATAAAATGATTTCTAAACCCAGCAAAGTAAGAGTGGTAGGTTATTTCAGCTCTAAATTCTCTCCCAATTAAGAGTCCTGGCTTACAAAAAATTTTTATGTTTTTAAATAGACTACTTAAGAAACTGTGAGTAGAAGTATAGTACATAGGATAAGCTGGATTATGCAAAAATCAGTTTTAGTACCTAGACAGTAGAAATCCTAAAGTCTCTAAAAATCAGCCTGTACTTAAAAAATATAGCATACTTATAAAGAAAAATGAAGTTGTCCTCTTTTTGCCTTAAAATGTAAAATTAAGCCCAACCACATTCAATGTAGGTTCACTTAAAATTAACATTCCATGTCATATCTCAAGGCAAACATTAAAAGTAATTTAAACTAGTTTAGCAAATTATGTCAAAAAATACTGAACTTTTTATCTTTAAAAATCCTAAGCTCATTTTCTTTTTATTTTTTTTTGTTTTTTTTTTTTTCATTTTCTAAATCAAGGGAAAAACCCTAACTGGTAAGTTGGTATCTCCTTTCTTTAAATAGTAGGAATTTAACAAAGGCCAGCAAAAACTACAACTTCTTATTTCATGTTCTTATATTAATTTAAATGATAGTATAAGACCATTTCTGACTGAATAAAAACTGAGATTAAGGTAAATCACTATTATCAGAACAGTGTCCCAAAAGCTGAGCTAATGAACAGAATTAGAGATAAACAAACCTAATTCATTCATCTTAGTATTTTCATTTGTTCTATATGCTGAATCTGTAAGAGAGATGAAAAGAAAATGATTAGAGCTGAAAGGAAATGCATCATATGGTTCTTTACCACAAGTTTAAAACTTTAGCAGATCTTTATCATTCTAATACTTGCAAGGAGAGTCAACTATTTTTTTTTTATAAAAACCATAATTCTTTCTTAAAGGGAATGATTGAAAAGAAATAGAAATCCAATGTAAAGATAAATAAGTTTCCATTTTACTTACAAGATAAAGCATCCTTAAGGGCCAGTAAACACAGAAAATGAAGTACAAGTAGATTGTGTGGAATGACCTTGCTACTTTTCTTTGTCATAGAATCAATTTAAGGGGAATAATTTTTAAGGTTTTAGTCAAAAGAAATATAGTTGAGACAGTGAAATTTTACAGCTTCAGTCTTCCTATGAAGCCTAAGTCTGGAATTTTTTATCAGCAGTATACTGTGAAGAAAAAGTCCAGGATCTCAGTTTAGAATTTTTTTTTTTTTGTACTGGGGATCGAACTTGGGACCTTGCGCTTGCGAGGCAGGCGGCAGAACCACTGAACTAAATCCTTGGCCCCAGGATCTTAGTTTAAAAGCATCATGTGAGCACAACAGAACCACAGCAATATATAAAAAAGAACCTTTTAAAGAGAATGGGGGGGGGACGACCAAGGGCCAGGGATTTAGATCAGCGGTTCCACCACCTTCCTCACAAGCGCAAGGTCCCGAGTTCGATCCCCTGTACCAAAAAAAATAAATAAATAAAATAAAGAGAATGGGGGTGGTGGTGGGGTGCCACGGGGATTTAGCTCAGTGGTTCCGGCACCTGCCTCGAAAGTGCAAGGTCCCAAGTTTGATCCCCGGTACCAAAAAAAAAAAGAAGACAATCTCCTACCAAATGAAGAGAATGGGGAAGCCCTTTATAAACTGATATGGAAAGATTTCTCAATATACATGAAAACTAAAAACAAACAAGAAGGTACAGAAAAAAATATTTATCAGGCCAAAACTTGTTTAAAAAAGGAGAAAAAGGTAATTTATACATGAATTTTCCTAACTCTCCAAAAATATCTCTGGAAAGATATTTAGGAAACTGACATCAGTTGGTTCTGATGAGAAGACTGAGAGATTGAGTGGCTAAAAGACAGTGGACAAAAAAAAAAAAAAGAGTGGACACAGGGAGACTTTTCACTATATATCTATAGCAACTTTACAGAATTTCGAACCATACGAGAATATATATATACTGCTATATTTAATTGACCAGCATCAGTGATCAGGATGGACAAAGTGACCACCTGTCTTAGGAAAACAGAGCAGCTGGAGCCAGCCTGTCTCAACTGGGGCTGTTTTTTTTGGGTTTTTTGGTACTGGGGATCAAACTTAGGACCTTGTGCTTGTGAGGCAGGTGGAACCACTGAGCTAAATCCCTGGCCCTATACTAATGTATTTAAAAATCAAATCATGTTTATAAGAGAAGTCAAACCAACAGACAAAATAATCTCTTACCAGATCTTGTGCTTCTCAGAGGGGGTCTACAAAGGCTAATTACAGGATCTTCACTGGTCACTGATATAGGAAAACATTAAAAAAAGTAGTAGATTTATTATAAATCATCCCTTTATGAACAAAGGTTTATAGAGCTTTTCATTATGCTACAGAACTAAAGATAAGTTTTCTCTAAGTAAGTAACAAAAATGAAGTAGAAATAAGTTTCCTGCCATATAAATTCAAGGTTTTGGAAAAATTTTCAACTGTTTTCAGTAGACCACATTGTATATATATAAAAAAAATTAAATAAAATTCTTCTAAATTGCTCAAACAACCAAAATCTGCACTATAGTACCGACTCAATAATCTATTCCTTATTATGTATGATTAATGTCATATTTTAATTTTAGAGTTAGCTTCCCAAGAGATAATACACTCCCTCCAACTATTTACTGGGTTTGTCCAAGAAATGCAAAGGCTAATTTTAAATAAAATGTTAATGTTAGTCACAGGTGTAGGACTTACAGGGAAGTCAATTTCATTAAATAACATCGTAGTTTTAGCTAGAAAATCAGTCTCATACAACATAACCTAAAACCCAATATATATCTGAATTTGGATTTTATTATGTTTTGTTTCAATCATCTCTATAGAAAGAGCTCAGTTGTTAGCATTTTATTCATTAGCTATTAGGATTTACATAAGTAGTTTTAAAAATAAATCTTGTACATGTGTTGATAAAGGTAAATTTTACTTACCATTGGTTCTAGTATCACAACTTTTTCTCTGTATTCCCAACCTTTTCACATTTAATTAAAGCCTAAAACTGAAAATCTGGTCTTGTTTGCTTTTTGCTGTGCTATGTTTAAAAAAATATATCTATATCTATATCTCAATGGCTATTTTAGTTCCTGTCTTTCAATTTAAGAAGCATTTTTTGTATGTCCTACCATATAAAATCCTAGGTAAGGTGCTGCAAGGGAACAGTACCAGAGAGAGGTACAGGAGAGTAAAGTCACTAGTATCCCTCACTTCTCATCATTGCATCCAGCATCAAGTATAAGACTGGCACAAAGCAGGTGCTCAACAAGTATTTTCTGAGCTCCACATCTCTTCTACAGTTCCATGAGAATGAGGGGTGGGGGTGTTATCTGCACATTTTATTGCATACAGTGTGATTTCACAGGTACTATCTCATTTCTCCAGGGGCTCTGTATGTAGGACCAATACCACCGTGGTACTTACTATAACAGCCTGAGGCTCAAGGTGTGTAGGAACTTGACCAAGACCCAGTGATTTCCATATTATGCAGCCATGCCTTTACTAGCAGTCCTTAAATACAGGTCTAATTTAAACTTAAAAAAAAAACAACTTGCTCAATATATTTTATTTTATTTTTGGTACCTGGGCTCGAACTCGGGTCCCTGTGCCTGCACAGCAGGCTGTGAAACCACTGAGCTAAATCCCCGGCCCTATATATTTTAATACACAGTTGTTTTACAATGATCTAGAGTCTGATACTCAAGTCTTCTTGGTAACAATTAATTCCAGCTTTTCTTTTTTTTCTTTTTTTTTTTTTTTGCGGTATTAAGGACTGAAACCCGAGTCTTTGCAGTGAGCTATATCCCCAGCTCTTTTTTAAATTTTGAGACAGAGTCTTGCTAAATCACTAAATTTACCAGGCTGGGTTCAAACTTTCAATCCTTTTGCTTAACCCTCCTATGGCGCTGTGATCGAAACATTTTTATAAACTTAGTCGAGATTTAAAAACTGACATATTTCTGTTTTTTAAAGACACAACTAAATTTGTAAATAAACTCAAGAGATTATGATTTCTTTCTAATTAGCCTGGAAAATATAATTACAGCACTCATTACTCAAAGTATTTTTCTAAAATATTAACACAATAGCTGGGCATGGTGGTGCATGCCTGTAATCCCAGCACTCAGGAGGCTGAGGCAGGAGGATTGCTGTGAGTTTAAGGAGGCCTGAGGTACACAGTGAGTTCAAGGCCAGCCTGATATACACAGCAAAACTTTGTCACAAAAACAAACACTCGAAAATATTAACACAGTAACGGGTATTCAAGAAATTAAGAATAAAGGGATGTTTATTTGAAAGTGAACCAGACTAGACATACTATATTCTAAATTGAGAACAGAATAGTTCAAACAATAATCTCATTAGAAGTAACATAAATAAATCAGGTCCTGGGCAATAAAATCCAGGGATAGCTGGGCATGGTGCCATACACACACCCGTAATTCCAGCATTTTGGAGGGTGAGGCAGCAGCAGCATGAGTTCAAGGCTACCCTGGGCTACATGGCAGTACTACTCTGTCTCAAAAAACCAAAACCAAGCCAAATATAAATAAAACAAAAAAACTCTTGTTGGAGTAATTAGCTTCAACAGTTCCAATCATTTATTCTTGAGGGATTTTCCTAGTCTCAATAAAAGAAAAATAACTGGAAAAGAGAAAGTATTAAAAATTAAATTGAACTTAATCCTTTCTCAGTTTTTATTTTTTATTTTTTTGGTACCAGGGATTGAACTTGGGGCGGCAAAACCACTGAGCTAAATCCCCAGCCCAATCCTTTCTCAGTTTTGAAAAATATTTTTAACTTTTAAAAACTTAAGCAAACTGTTAAATGTACCCTATTTCTACATTCCATAGATTCTAAGACTTTTTTTTTTAACACTTTAATATCTTTGAAATTGGGATGCATCATATTACCCATGGCTTATTACAATAAATTACCAGAAAATAGGAAGTACTTTTTCTTCTAGGTGGCACATAAAACAATGATGGTGTATCTTACAAATGAAGGCATCTTGGGTTTGATGAAATAATATTAAAATGACAATATAATATTGTGTGAATATTTTACTACACAGAAATTTTTAAAATAGAGGACAATGTGACATAATTGTCACTTAACAACTTTACCAACCAGCTAATTACTACATGGGACAGTACTGGCAAGGTTCTTTGGGAAAATGAAAGGGTTTTAGAGAAAGCTGATTCTGAATTTTGGCTCAGTCACAAAATCATGTGATCTTAGAGAATCTCAGATGCTCTGAGCTCCACTTTTCTCATTAATAAAATGGCTATACTATTTATCCTGGAAGGGTATAAGAATTAACACATACAACGTGGCTTTTTGAGTGCATATTCAAGAGTCCAACCTTGCCTCTTTTTCTTTTTTGGTACCGGGGATCTAACTTGGGACCTTGCACCTGGTGGAGGAACCACTGAGCTAAATTCACGACGCTCTTTTGTCTTTTTCTGACACATATCAACACTGCTTAATTCAGCGAACAACAAAAACACTGAACAAGGTATGACTTGGGATCCTTGATGAATCTGTATTTTTTGTTGTTTTTTTGGGCCAGGGACTCGATATGTAGTTCAGGCTGACCTTGAACTCACTATGTAGCTCAGGCTGGCCTAAACTCACAGTGATACTCCTGCCTCAGCCTCCTGAGTGCTGGGATTATAGGCGTATGCTACCATGCCTGGCTCTGATCTAAAAATACAGATTTTTAAAAGGTGGCAGGTAAACCAGGGTTGGTGATGCACATGTGTAATCCCAGCACTCTGGGAGGCTGAGGCTGAATTTGAGATCAGCCTGGGTAATTTAGCAACTTGTGAGACTCTGTCTCAAAATAAAAAAGGGCTGTGGATGTGGCTCACTGCAAAGGCCCTGGTTTCAATCCTGAGTGGCAGGTAAGAAGAAAAACAAAAACTCAACTATTCTTACCTGGAGCTTCTTGTGTTCTGACAGATTTCTTTGAGACTGTTTGGTTTGTAACAGTTTGAGAAGATGGTTCATCCTCTAAAGAAAAGGCATGACAAGAGTTAAAATTCAGGATGTAGTACATGCCCTGGGAGATCATAAAACAGATGATACATACTTAGCAGCAATATATAAGCAAAAATGCAGGTGATTCATTTCTTTAGAAATGTGATTAAGTTCACCAAAGCTTAGAAATTAAGCTACTCCTAAGACAGTGCAAGAAATTCACCAAATATAAAAATATTTGCCACTATTGCTTTACAACAAAAACATATGCAGTCAAAAGATGGCTTGAGTATCGAAAATGATGTGGAAGAGAATAGCTGGAAGATTTACTAAAATAGAGATAAATTCCTTACTTTAAAAAGCCTATGTAACTGCACTAGGCCCTATGGGAAAGTCAATACAAAGTGACAAATTTATATTGCCTCCTACAGGCAAAGCATTCTCCCAGGTACTGAAAGAAATACAGTATTAACACATCACAGAATCCTTCAAGGTCTGTCAATTTAGGGACAAAACTAACATCATGGGGGGGCTAAACTGTCTTGAGTTGTTACATCCAAAAGTAACTGACATACCTTTAACAAAAAGTTTGCCAAATTTAGTCTTCAAATGCATCAGGACTTTTAAATATGAGCAAGTAAACCTGCAGCCTGCTACTGTGCTCTAAATTGAAAAATCCATATACAGATACATTGTCTACAATTAATTATGTAACCCATTGTGACTGAAATGCTCTGATTTTCCCCTCATAGGCAGGTATTTTACATAAGGCTAACATGAAACTTTACCTGTGACTCAATGTCGGCATCTGGGGTGTGTGTGTGTATGGTATTAAGGAAACTGGCTCACCTCGGACTCACATGAAATTAGTACACACACTATGCAACTTTTAATTAATCAACGGTCTTTTCCTTTCTTTATTTTTTTTTTTTTTGGTACCAGGGATCGAACTCAGGACCTTGAGCTTTCGAGGCAGGCGGTGTAACCAGAGCTAAATCCCAGGCTCCTCTTTTGATTTTTGAAACAGGGGCTTGCTCTGTGTTCCAGGCTGGCCTCAAACTCTCCAGCCTCAACCTTCTGAATGCTAGGATCATTAACAGGCGTGCACCACCACACCCACCAAGTCTTGTTTTGTCAACAGGATTACAGTGAAGGCTTCCAACAGGGTTATTCATGGCAGAGACCACCACACTTGAGAAGAAGCTGACTTTGTTGGGAAAACTAAGTTACCCCATTTTGGTGTAAGAATTAGGAGTAGACAATTCCCTAACTCCGTTACTCTACCTTTTGAAATTCCCACTCAAAAAATTTCTCCTCCCTCTCTCCACCTGGGCGGGGATGGAGAAGACTGGAAGGTTAGAACTATGATTCTCACTCAGCTCTGGGGGCTTCTGGCTTCCGAGAACTAAAGAGGGAAATGGAAGTGGCTTCGATATAGTAACATCTGCAGAGGAACGGAAATGAAACCAAAGCTGCAGTCACTCTTAGTTCCTACTCCGCCTAACCCGCTGGACCCTCACGAAAGCCTGCAGAAAGAGGATACCTAGACTTCCCTAAATTTGTGCCCAGGGATGGGCAGCGTTTCTCAGCTCTGCCCGGGTCGCCCCACGAGACCATCTTCCTCCCTCCTCGGGTCAGTGCCTCCTTCCCGCCCGGGGGCTCCTCCAAAGCGCACACCTCCCCGCGGGAACCCGCCTGCCCGCCCGCTGCGCCTGCTCCCCGGCTTGCGGCTGAGTCTGTTACCTCCGCTGTCCTCACCTTCAGAGGATAGAGAGTCCCGCAACCCTCTCCGGCTCGTAACCGGCGACGGCTGTAGCTGAGGCTGCTGTGAGTGTGGTTGCAGAAGGCGGGCAGTCCTTCGCGTGTTCATCTCTTCGACTGACTGGGGTCGGGGCTGCCTCCGCTGCCGAGACCGAAGGTAGTAGGCGCTTTCTCTCCCTTCTTCTTTTGCAGAATCCGGCTGAAACTCTTCTGGCGGGGTTTGTTTTCCCACCGGAGACCTTTCTTTGGCCATCTGGGGTTCGAAGTCGCCGTATACTTCTGGCGGTTCCTCTGAGAACCTCACTTCCCGCCGGCCCTGCCGTGACGGAGGAGTTCCGTACGCGAGCACGTCACCGCCGCCGCCATCTTGAGAAGCCGGGCGGAGCCTTCCCTCCCTCAGGGGGGCCCTGGCCGTGACGTACATCCCCCATCTCTCCCCCTCCGGCTCTTCTCGCTGCCCCTCGTCCGCCATAGTTGTTGGCGTAGCTGTAGTGAATCGTGAAGATGGCTTTGCGGCCCCTAGATTTTCTTACTGGTGGTCTCGATGGCTTCTCGGGGATGTTGGGCGGTGCCTGCAGTGGTCAGGGAGGCAGCTGAGAGTCGCCGGGGCCGCCACCTGCGTCGTCGCTGCTGTGCAAACCTGCCTCTGGGCCCATGGTGTGTCTGAGGGCTATGGGAGAGGCAGTGCCCGAGCTGGGTCAGCTGCTCGGGGTCACTCCCGCCTCCTGGCTGGAGGCACCAAAGAGGAGGAGAAGGGGGAGGAGGACATCCCTGTCCTCGGGCTTGAGGGACGGACGGGTGGGGCGACGGCACAGTGGCAGGGCATTATGTTTGTGCGAAGTCCAGCGACTCGAGGCCACGCGGGAGACAGACGCCCGCCCAGGCCGCCGGGTCCGAGGGTCCGAGAAAGGACGAGGGAGAGGAGGGCGGAGAATACCGAGTTAGGCCTTCGCACCCAGCCTGTTGCGCAGTTTCTCTGGGAACTTTTAATCGGCTGCCACCTTAGCCATGCCTTTCCAAGTATCCCTAGCAGGAGTAAAGATCAGAGAGATTTTTGCATGTATCGTCTTTTCGTGGTGAAAATTGTAGCTTCAGGTTAGAAAAGTTGGCCAGTTTAAAATTTCCAGTCTTCTGTTGGGGTTATCCAAAATCGTATCTACAGTCACACTTACTGGAGATTTTCTGTTTGCGAAATGTACCCATAGCAAACAGTCTCATTTGATCTTTTATACAAAAGTTCTATTCCAGCAGAATAATTCTGTTTTGTTAGGAAGACTATTAATATTAGCGCTGCGTTATGCAGTGAGAATCAAGCATATGATTTTTTTTTCTTGGTACCGGGGATCGAACTCGGGTTCTTGCGCTTTCAAGGCAGGTGGTGAAACCACTGAGCCAAAGCCCCGGCCCATGCATATAATTTTATTGACGGCTGCACTGTTAATTTTAAATCGAGACCCATTATTTTTACTTTGATTCTGTCACTGCAATATTACTGTGTTTGACTTACGGTTCCTGCGTTGAGTTTACCGAGCTCTAGAAAGCATGATAAAAACCAGTTCAGCTTCGTATAATCTTCAGTTACCTAATCACAAATAGGGAAGATTGATTAAGTTGGTATAAATCTGAATTATTTGAAAGAAAGCTTAATATTACTTTGAATTATACAACGTCTAGAACTTTCTGAGATTGATTTAAATAGGTTTAAAAGTTGTAATTTGGGTACCAATTACAGTGATTCTGGAAAGTGAAAGTGTTGCTCTTTCACCTAATAGTCATTTGTTACTCATAATATACTCATCTGTTACACTAACTTGCACAAGTTTTAGATTTTTATGTTTTCACCATTACATAAATTTGGCCACTGACGCAAGGAATTACCTGAATCAGATAGGTTTTAATCCGTTTGGAGCTTAGTTTAGCTCTATTTGCTATATACAATTCAGTCAAAGATACTGGAAGAACAACAGTGAGAGAGACTCTTTCAGTCTTTAAAGGAAAATGAAAATTTTTTGTTGTCTGGGTTAGCTGGTATATTTGGAAAATTTGTCAGATTCTTCTACAAAGTGCTGAAAAGTATTAATACTTAATACATGGCTTTTAATTATTTTTTTAAGTAGTGTTTTCTGTGTAAGGTGGTTATTATCTCATTACCACATACTAGTGAAAGTTCCTTAATAAACACAGTAATTACTAAAGGATATAAATTTTACACTGTTAATATACTAAGCTCATTATGAACATTAATATGTATACTAAGAGCCTCTTTAAAACATCAGAGCAGTTGACTATAGAAACCTGGATACTTGCTTCTTTTTCTGGGACACCTAAGGAGACTACAGGCTCTACATATTCTGGGACAATTAGAAGAGAGAGGTTCTATAGACTACTGAATGATCATTAAATTTTTTTTTTAACTAAAATGCTTGTAAAGGCATAGGAATAACTTCAAAGAAACGAATAAAGAGAATGTTAAAGTAGATTCCAAAGCAAAAGAAGGTAACTTTAGCACTTCAGCATTAGCACATGTATTTGCTTAGTATTTTCCCTCTTTTGCCTAGGTTTCAAGAATATATAATCTTAGAATATATAATATATAATCTCTGTCATAACTGCCTCCCACACCTAGCAATCTTACAAATACCAAACTTACATTACTAACAGTGAGTGAAAGCCAAACTTTTGTCAAAACATGGTCTTCTGTAGCTGTTTTCCAAACCACAGCGGTGGCCCATGAGAAAATAACATTAATGAGACAGCAGTGCTCACTTCAGCAGCACATATGCAGAGACAGTGAACTTGTAGCCAGTATTATAAAAGATTTGCCTGGCCACCAATACCAACAGTTACTTCATGAATTTGATAAAAGTGGAGGAATTCAGTGAATCAAAAGACAGGTAAGAGAAGCAATGGTTATAACACTTTATTTATTAATTCATTTTTACTAAATATGCTGTGCTAACAAAGATGGAGACATTACTCCGAGGGAAATTGCTATATACTGTGGTACTGTAGTAGGTGTTGGGAGCATTACTACATAAATTTTAGGGGAAAATCATTTCACAATTAAAGAATGACTATAGCTGTCTAAGGCCCAATGTTGCCTCGCTGGAGAGCCCGCTATGGCGTGCAAAAACATAACTCCGCATTGCTCCCTGTCACAGCTGAGGCCTCAATGGTCTGTGAAGCTGTGGCGCTCAATGGCAAAGTGACACCAGCTGAAGATGTTCTGGTTCCTTGAGAACCCAGTAGTAATACAAAAGAGAGAGGTTTCACCTGGGGAGGGAGGAGTTGCTTATCAGCCAGCTGGTCCCACCTACTGAGGTGGGAATGCTCTCCAGCTTCATCAGCATGAGATTTGCATCGGCACAGGATCAGAGGAGATCACCCCCCCAAGTCACCTGATATTCCCTCCAATTATTGTGTGTCCCCAATAAATAGTGGCTAGCTCGGAGAGTCTTGGGCCTTGCCCGCTCTGAGGCACTGATCTCCTAGCCCCCCATATGCTTTGAAATTACGCAAGTTTTTATTGTCTTTTTTCCTTTGGTCCTCGCTGCCCCCCTTTCTAGGTCTCTGATATGAGGGAAGTCAGATTAGTAACTGGCATTAATCCACTTACCCCTAGATACTTGGGCTAGGTCTAGAAATCCTGTTTTCACCTTGGGTTTCAAAAGAAAAGCTTGTTTTTTTTTTTTTCACTTTTCTGAGTCAGGGTCTCACTATGTAGCCCAGGCTGGCTTTCAAATTCAAATTATCCTCTTCCCTCAACCTCCTGAATCCTGGGATTATAGGCATGCACCACCACACCTGGTTTAAAGCAGTTCTTTTAAATGAAACTAATTTAAAAATAATTTTTGTAGAGTTTTTCTTGTAAGGCAAGAGAAATCCAATTTAAAGAGAAAGCATCAATTCATTGTACATAATACATTTCTGGTTGGGGGCAAAACTTAATTTTAGTAAGGAAAAACTTTAAAGATGAAGTAAAGACAAACTTTCTCACAAGTGATAGAAAAAGTGTTTTAAAGATAATACAAATGAATATCGAAATGTTACACTGAAATTAAAACAGTGAGTGGAGTATATTCTACTTAATGTCTTGAATTAGAAATTAGTCAATTATCAAACAGGATCTGTGAGTCTTCCCAAATCCAGTGACATCTGTCAAAATGATGATTGATGGACTATGGCACCTAAAAGCATGTTACATGATAAATCATTAACTCAAATATTTGAGCTTCTGTGTGCTAGGCAGTCCTGGTTCTAGGAGCTGGGGATACAACAATGATCAAAATAAACCAAAAGACAACCTTTCTGCCTTCTTGAAGTTTACTTTCAATGGGCAGAATCAGACAAAATAGTCAAGACAAAAGTCAAAATTAGTAAAATAATGAGTTGGTTAGAAATGTTAATAAAAAAAAAAAAAACAAAGGAAATGTCTTGATGTAGGTCAAGAACAGAAATTTTAGACTTAAATTGACTTTTCCCCTAATCCGGTACATGTTTTGGGTAAATTGCTTACCATCTCTCAATTTTCCCTGTTACTAAAATGAGTAGGTCAAAGTAGTAGCTGTTTTTGATTCATCATTTACTATCATCTAGCATATACGCTACTTACAGGATCCCAACTTTTATGTGGGTATTTGGCTTTGATCCCATTTGAGCCAGGATTTAACTAAGGTTTTGTTGAAGCAGCTACTTTGAGAACACTCTCCTAGTGATGACAGTCTGGATTCCAAGTCATGTCTGACCTCTCTTTCCATGATGTGGACTACCTCTCTCTGTGTTGGTTCAATGGGTTTTTCTAATCTATGGATTTAAGGTGGTTTTCATGTGTAACATAATTTTAAGTCTTTTTTTTTTTTTTGTACCGGGGATCGAACTCTGGACCTTGCGCTTGGAAGGCAGGCGGCAGCACCACTGAGCTAAATCTCCGGCCCGAATTTAAGGTGGTTTTAAGGGTCAGAGTGGTCAGACATCTTGCGGAGGTATCTACAGTCCTGACAGATCATGGAGAGACTCAATACAGGGTTTTCTGCGGTTTGGTTGCTAGTACTTTAAGCAGCTCCGGAGGAAGGCCTTGTCTTAACGGGTCACCCGTGTAGAGTTCGGGGAGAAGGCCGGAGGTGGAGACTGCGACTACTTGTCCCAGCATTCCGCGGGCCGGCGCCTCCTCTCCCTGCGGAGGTGGCTGTCACGTGGGCGGGGCCAGACGACATTCTGCAGTGTGGGAGTGCACCCCGGTGTCTTGGAGCAGAAGGAACACCAGAGGCCGAAGGGTTCCTCTGGTACTGACAGTTCTACGACTTAAAATTTGTAAGTGAAAAAAAAAAAAAAAAAAAAGGATATGCAACTTTTCCAAGATTTAGTATCTGAATTTGTGTTTTTCTTCTTTCAAAAGGTCTTTCAGAACCAATCCCTCCCCACCCCCACCTCCCAAAGGCACAAACAGAAAACAAGGTAAGTTGAGGGTGTATTTTTGTCTAGGGGTGAAACAAAGAGGACCGAATCTTTTGAACATTAAACAGGTTAAAGTGGGAGTACATTTTTGGTTCGGACCTTAAGATGTAAAAGAATTCCTTTTAAGTTTCGAAACAAACGTAAACGCTGCGCCCC